CAATGTGAAGGCGAACGCTCGCACGCACACATTCGCTCAAAGCCGCACACACACGGAACAATCACACTCACGGCAGCCACGTTCATGCGCGCGAGCTGTCCACGACGCACACGAATCTCCGCGAAAAAAAAGAAAAAGTAGCAACTATCACTAAACCGTGTCTCGTACGAACGCAGAAACTCTGCGCGTTCATGATAAAATTCCACGAGGAGGCGAGAGAGTGAGAGGAAAGATCCACGATCGAGGCCTATGCCTCGAGATTGACGGATAGACAGAGCACGAGAGAAAAGTAGAGAAAGAGAGAGAGAGAGAGAGAGAGAGAGAAAGAGAGAAACGATGTAGCGACTTTGTACGTGTCAAAGTCGTGTTTCTGCATACGAGGAGAGGCCCGGCTGATTGTTACACACGTATCGTGCCCGATCGTGCCGAGCATTGCTGCTATAAACATGAAATCGCGCATTACGCACGGCGCACACACACACACACACACACACACATACAGACACACAGATACGCGCTTGCAGCGCGATTTAGGTGGACGTGTGGTGGTATAGAGAAGGCGCGAACGGAGATCGGTTCTCCCTGGATACGTCAGCCGCGGCAAGGACGCCCGCTAAACGGCGAATTATACTGGAATAATCGCTACGCTCCTGGCGGCGCGCCGGAACGAGCGTGAAAGATCGAAAGAAGCAAAAAGGAACACGACGGCGGAGGAGGAGGAGAGGTACTTCGAGAGTTAACCCCGCGCGCTGCTTCGGGACTGTACCGGGCGGGGAGGGACGTGCCTTTCCCCGGCGACCTGGTCTGCGTCGTCGTCGTCGTCGTCGTCGTCGTCGTCATCGTCGTCGTCGTCGTCGTCGTCGTCGTTGTCGTCGTCGTCGGGGAATAAGGAGGAAATTTGCGGTCCGTTGAATTTGTATCGATTGATGTACGCGCGCGCGCGCGAGAGAGAGAGAGAGAGAGAGAGAGAGAGAGAGAGAGAGAGAGAGAGAGAGAGAGAGACGAGGCCGCGTATTGAGAATCGAAAAATTGCGACGGATGGGAGAAATTGCGATTCGGGCGATTGCTTCCTCCTCCCGGTCTCGACGTTTTCGCCCGAGAGGGGGCGGAGAGGAGGGAATTGAATCGAACGCTCTGAGAAATCGGCTTTCGGATATTATTAGACAGAGGTGAGGCACACGCGGGGCGCAACCGCGCGCGCGCAACTTTCAATGACGTCAATGATTCCACTCTTGACGGCGAGTCGCCGCGAGCTCGGCGGCTTTCGCACTCTCGTGTGACGAAAGTCGTCCTTAAGGAATACGACGCGCTTCCAGGCCGCGAGCGACGGAGTCGAGTTTGGGACTTATTCCACGGCCTACGGCGTTATCACGTCGGTTGATCGCGCAAAGGTCACCGCTAACTACGGCATCGATCTTCAGGATCTTTAACAGCGCGCGAGCCTGTCAAAGGTCAGAGTGAATAGCACGGCCAGCACCTTTGAACGGTCAAACGATCACGGTGAATGGGTAATCGCGGACAACAATGGATCGTCATGAATGGATAAACCAGAGGGAAAAGGATGACTTTTCGCCGACTATACGGAAAACCACGGTCGCACATTGCCGTTACTTCGTCTCGCTCGGCAAGAGCAGTAACGCGATAGATTTTCCAAGAAGCCTCCAAGATACCGATTACGCGCCGATTATTCACCGTCTCCCAGTGGTGATTCCCAGCTCGCGCGAACCTCGTTGCGTGGCAAAGTTGTTTTCCGCGACCGCGTAAGAATTGGCATCCCCAGAATGTGTACTTCTCGGAGACACATCCGAGACTTTAGGTACGTATCTTCTTGCGAATTTCCACGTAAAATTGCAGCATGTCCGGTTGGCGAATTGTAAGAATATCTTAAAAATGATCTGATTTTGACGATTTTGACCTGCGAGAGAAACTCTACACTCTACAAAGATTTCCCGTTGCTTCTCCTTCGAGCCTGGCCTGAAATCTAGCGGATTTTTCGCGTAGAATCGATGTTTCAGGTAAGCTTCTAAAAAGGTAACGTTCTAAAAATGACAAAGGAAAATAGCCTCGTCATTCTCGGCGAGGAATATGACCAGTGGTGTTTCCAAAAACGTCCCCTTAACAATAATCTCCGACACTCCCCGCCGAGGAGAACATTAGTTAGTCCGGTAGAAATAAAGAAGATTTTGTCCGTGGGAAATTGTGAACGTTGCGACAGGACACGTCAGTACTAGATGCATCTATCGTTCACAAGCTTCGAGAAGGAGAATTCACGGAAACGAGCCATCTTGAATCTACCGGCAAAAATCCACAGATTTCCACCACGACTTTGCGCAGAAGTCAATCTGATCACGATGAACGAACAATATTCCGGATACATGCATCCTCCTCCCCCACCTCGTCTTATCTCCTCTCTGTCAGCCGAGAACGACTGCCTCGCGGACGCGGATTAAACTCTGCATGTAACAATTCGATAAGACGCAGATAGTATCACAATGCCGGTCACCGCGATGTTCAACGCGCTAAAGAGGTTAGTCGCGAAGAAACGCCGCGGGGGGATGGGAGAGAGGGGAAGAGGAAGGAAGTAAAATCTCCAAGCAAGATCACGGGGTTCGGAGCCTCTCCTCGGTGCCGTCGCGCCCAAGACAGGTTGAGCGCGTCCTCGTCGGAACTTGGTGAGCAGGTGAGCAGCAAACGAGCATAGTCGCGAAGCGAGGGGAAGCCCGACGAAGGACGGGGCGAGGAGGTCGATTACCTTCGGGGTCAACGGAGGAGAGATTTTGTCGTCCGGCGACCGGCCGCCGCTGTCGTTAAGGAACGCACGCGCGGTGGCATATGGCCGCTCCTCAGCGTTTCACGTTAACGACGCGACGTTCCGTTCCTCTTCAGCAGCGAAGGCCGCTTTTTCGAGCGAACACAAATAATCCGTGGCTCAACGCGCGCCGATACGACGTGATACGATCGCGCCGACGACCGAGTCTAAAACGAGCAAAGAAAAAGAGAAAAAAGAAAACGGAGAGAGAGAGAGAGAGAGAGAGAGAGAGAGAGAGAGAGAGAGAGAGAAGGAGAACGATAAGGGTTCGCCTTCACCGACTTCTCCTCGATCGGTTCACGAGCAGTAGTCGAGGTCTAATTAACCGCGATAATATAATGCCGTATCAGTAATTTACGCGCGATATGCGAGCGAGAGAGGGGGGGGGCGAGAGGAGAGAGAAAATTGTCACTGACTTTACACGTGCCTCGACGAGGGTACGACAGTAGACGGAGTTGCTTCTAAAGCATGTCGCCGTATAACCAGCTCGAAAACGCACACGTAATCAGCGCGTGTATGCATAATTGATACATTAATCGCGTTTTCTAACGTATCCGATTTGACTAATTTGCGCGAAATGCTCGTGCTCGGCGCACATGCGCGCGCGCGCGCGCCGCCGTGCGGAAGATTTCGCGGGGCGAGTCGAGCGCGAATGTGCGCGTTCGTACGAAATAAACGTGCTTGTTTCACCGCTTCTTCCTTTTCTCTCTCTCTCTCTCTCTCTCTCTCTCTCTCTCGATACTTCTCCGTCATCGCGGGACAAAAATTCATTGGCCGCGCGCTCGCGTGTTCGCGCATACGGAGGGCCAGAAAGGTTCGCGAGAGAAAATGGTGTATAACCTTGCTCGGCCAACCTCGATCGCCTTCACCGCGGTACCTTCAGTGTGTGTGTGTGTGTGTGTGTATGTGTATGTAGCTGTGACAATACACGCACACACGTGGCACGTATATACGCATCGTGACCGCTCGCAGACGGCCGAGAGATCGAGCTCTCGACACGATCGCGGGATCTTTTTCGCGTGTAACGCGAGACGCGCCACCTTCTTGTCCGGTCGCCGTCGCGGCGACGGAGACGACGACGACGACGACGACGACGACGACGACGACGACAGAGTCGCCAGGATAGTCGGATCTTGCGACGCAACCTCAAAAGAATCTAACGTGTGAAAGGTAGGGAGAAAATGACACTGGCGACACGCGCGAAGGTGTCTCTTGCTCCGGGGAAAATAATTCTAATTTCAGCGTTGCTTATTAATGAATGACTGATATACGACGTATATTAGAGAAGCGGTCTCTCTCGATCGTACAGATTGAAATTCGCGCGAGCTAAGGTGTTAACGAATACAATTTTACGTGATTAGCGGATTACGTGAGTAAATTAAGTAAATCGACGTCGGGACGACGAGGCGTCGGCGACAGCGGCTCGCTCTCTCTCTCTCTCTCTCTCTTTCTCGCGCGCACGCTCGTCCTCTCACTCTCACTTTTTTTTTCACCGAAAGAAAATTTCACCGTTCTCCATTCAGTCCGTCGGCTTTGCCGCCCGCCCTTTCTCCCCGGACTCGACTCGCGCGGAGAGATGTCATGTACCGGCGAGAGATCCTTTTACCGCGCGATCCATTTCGGCCAAGAGGGAATTTCTGAGAATTACGGATGTGTGTGTATACACGCGGCCTGTATGTGCGGCGCGCTAATTAACGGGGACTATTAACTCCTTGCCTTGATTTCGCGCGATAAATGCTAAACCGGAAAAAGTCGTCGTCGCGACACACGCAGTATTTCCGCGTGCAACGTCATTGGCGCTAAATAATGATTCATAGAAGTGTGTTTGCACGCGCTACGCGGTAATCAGTCTTGGCGAGCGATTCGCTCGCCAAAACCGAGAGGGAAAAGAGAAAGAGGAAATGTCGATTTTTTTCTGTAGAAACGTGGACAAAATGTAGTCGAGCGACGAGATGAGAATCTCATTTGCGGTTTTCAAGCTACTTCCGCGAACGCTTAGTCGTATTTTAATGAAGCCACTCACAATCTATCCCGCGTGACGACGGGCCGACAACGCATAACGCATCGGGGATTCACCTGTCCGGCGAGCATGTCGAAGAACGTGTCAGCGAGAATATCGAAGAAATACAAATACGCGCGTCTACAAGAGTATCGCACGGGGGATTGTTGGAAAAAAATTGTTCTCACTCACCCCTTCATTTCCCGCGACTTGGATGGTTGGTTTCTTGCCGATCGAGTGCTGAAACAGAGAAAAGAAAGGTCAAGGTTCATTCTCCCCAGCGCACAGATTGTAAGGGTCAAATCGAGGAACGTTTGGTCAGCTATTAGCATGCACACACGGCGAATAATGAAAAAATAAATAAATACATATACCGAATCATCGCGTGGGAAAAGTCGCGCGCTCGTCGCTGTTGTACCTCTTGGAACTCTGCATTATTTAGAATAGTACGACGAGGCGAATTCGCCGACTATCGGAGAGGTACCACGCTAATGACAGCACAAAGGAACATCAAAAAGACATTTGTCGCAAATTAGCTCGTCGGAGCGATAAAGTGTCCGACGAAAAGCGAAGTCAGCGGTCGCGCGACGTGTCGCAAACGTTAATTCAAACGAGAGAGGGCGATCACAGTGTAATTACGTGACCGGTGCGCAGCGTCGATTGGCAGCGCAGCTCGTCAGGCTCAATCACACACACACACACGACGGGGCCGTCGACGGTCGTCGAGTGAGACGGGGTGATCAGAGACAGAGAGCTCGCTGGCGAGCTCGCTCCCAAAATCCGTGAAACGCGCGCGCGCGCGCGCGCGCTGCGAGTCCACGCGAATCCTTCTTCGCGAGTCCACGCGATCTCGCGTAACGTCCGGGACGAGAGTCGCGATTTTGCGTGTGACTTTTACGCACGCGCCTCTGTCTCTCCTGGCGACCGCTCGAAAAGGGAAAGTCCGCCGGTAAGAGCTTCGCTCGCGGCCGCTCGGACGCGCGACGTGGAACAGCACGACGGATCATCGTCCGACGTCGGAAGTCGCAACGACACACGACGGATACACGCGCGGGTAAACGACTCGGGATAAGTCCGGCTGCATCCCGGATGAAGCGCGATTCCCTCGAGAGGAGGGAGGAGCCGCCGCCTCTCTTCGACAGCGGCGAGGAATTGTCGAGACGGAAAAAATGAAAGAAGCCGCAAGCCGAGGCGCGACTGCTGCAGGAAATTGTTGCGCGAGTAAAAACGCCGCGCGTCTGCGAGCCGCGCGCGATTTATTAATTTTTTCCCTTTTTCCGACGATTCCTCCTCGTCGTCGACGGCACTTTGCTCCTCCCCCACGACGCCCTCGCGCGCTTTTTCCAGCGGACCTACAGGACCGATCTCGTCGGTGCAACGAGGGGACGAACGCGGAGTTCCGCTCTCGAGCAACCCCCCCTCCCTCCCTCCGCCTCCCCCGGCGATCCTGTTTCGCATTCGATTCGCGTGTCCATCCGCTCTGCTAATGCTGTCGTCCGCCTCGTGTTGTTCTTGTACGCGCGTTTCGTCCCGCGCTGGTCGTACGTGCGCGAACGGACCTCACACGGTTTCCGCTCGTCCATCGGCTCGTGCGAGCGACGCACACGCAAAATTCATCGCGTCGACTCGGGTCGGAGACAAGACTGACCCCCGCCGAGCGGAGGTGGCCCTCGCGCGCTCGTGACGAGAAATACTTTTCACCCCGTATTTCGTTAATTAATTTCGTAATTACACACACACTCTCTCTCTCTCTCTCTCTCTCTCTCTCTCCTTCTCGATCTGTCCGATTATCTACTCGCGAGCAATCAAGGAGATTAAATTCCGCCGACTGCCCTCGAGGCTCCGCGAAACTCCGCACCGTCCGCGCGAATCGCGCATTGTCGCGGCGCGCGGAAGTCGCGCGAGAGGGAAGGAGTTGCAGAAAAATTCCGCGCTCTCCCTCTCGACACAAGTTTGCACTTCGCGGAGCGACGAAGCCGAAGGGTGCGACCGATGACGACGACGACGACGACGACACAGGCGCGCGAGTCTCGGGGCCGTAGCAGGAAATCGTAGAAATCGCGCGTCGAGCGAGCGAGGCTCGTAAAGCGGAGCCGTGTGTTCTGAATCTATATACACGCGTTGCGCCGCGCGTGTGCTTTCACTGATCCGCCGATGATAATTCCTCGTCGCGGGCAACCTGGAGCGACGGCGGTTACACTTTGTTGGTGTGACTCGCGGCAAAAGCAGCAGCGACGACGACGACAAAACGACGGCCGAGGATTTTACGAGTGTGGCGGCTCTGTCACGCTCGCATGACAAACGGAGTGTCGTGCGCGATCCCGCGTGGCTACACCCCCCTCCCCCCCCGCCGCCGTCTGTGCGCGCGGCGAGACGGCGTAATACGCCGGGCAATTATTTTCACGGCGTTATGTAAACGCGACGGAATAATCAAGCGTCACCCAGGCGCGCTCGCTTTCACTCAATATCAGAAGGATCCAATTACAGTTTTAATTATTCTAATAACCGCCTGCGATCGTTTCGGTATTCGAAAGCACGCGCGCGCGCGCGCGCGCCCGTCTCGTCTCGCCCCGCCCCGCATCCTCCTCCTCCTCCTCGTGTGTCACCGTCGTCATTTCCGGCGGACTTGGCGGCCGTCGGCGACTTCGCGGTCCACGGCTTCTTCCTTCCTGTCAATCCGTATCTGCGTCTCCCGAGATCCTCTGCTTTCCCATCTCAACGTCTGCGGGAATATTTGCTGCGGGAACGCACAGACGATCGTGCTCCATCAGGATTCTGACCAGGAACTTCGTCCGGCGCACAAGCGCGCCCCGCCCGAGCGCACCGCCGTCATCTCCTCCGCCGGCCACATTCATCCCGGCCGCCCGCGGACGTCGATTTCGAAACAGGCGGTGTAAAAGCCGAAGGGAATCCGCCGTCTCTCTCTCTCTCTCTCTCTCTCTCTCTCTCTCTCTCTCTCTCTCTCTCTCTCTCTCGGCGGATCCTCCTCTCGGACCCTCTCTCCTTTGATCTCGACTTTCGGAGAAATATTCGAAACACACGCAAGACTGTCCGACCGACGGCTTTAACGAGCCTCCCCCAACGCGCCCGGCAATCTAGGATTAACAGGAGTCATCGACTGCACACACGCGTGCGCGCGTTCACGTGGTGTTAAGAGCACAAAGTGTTTCCCTTTGAAAGGGGGACCTCTTTCTCCCCCGCGGCGTGGTATAAGTGAAATTTCGTCGTCGCCACCCCGCCATCCGATGCGACGGCGACGGCGGCGGCGGCGGCGGCGGTGGCGGTCGTTGGCCTCGGCAACTCGGCGACGCGGTAGGAAGAGGGGTGGAGCGGAAAGAGAGGAAGACAGAAGGCGGAAGGACGAACGAGGGAAGAGGGTTTACCGCCCGATGATTAAATTCATTTAGTCCGCGAGTCCACGAGTGGCGGCACCCACGTACGACGCGCTCGTTGTAAACGAGACGAGGGTGGACGCGTCTGAAGTGTGCGCGGGGGCTGTACGATTTCGAACAGGGGGAGGGGGGAAGTCTCGGCAGACTCGCGAGACGCCGAGGGGTCAAGCTGCCGATCGGATGCGTCTATTTTCGCGTATTGCGATGATAATCGCGATAACGTGACGCGAGCAGAACGAACGATTGTACTTTGTTGCTAAAGAACGAGAGAGAGAGAGAGAGAGAGGGGGGGGGAGGAACGAGATAGAATGGGAGAGAAAGGGAGAGAAAGGGAGAGGGAGAGAGAGAGAGAGAGAAAGGATGACTCATTATGCCGCGCAACGTTCTACTTTGACGACAGTCTCGCGTGCCACGCACACGACCTCAAAAAGGTCCTTGCGAGCAGTCGCCAGGCAGCAGCCAGCCGTCTCTCCCGAACAAGGACCCACCCGCCACGGCAGGTCAATAACTCTCTTCGCCGTCCTGGCCGTACAACCCGGCCGCCGACTTCCCCTCGTCTCTTACGCATCGCGCGCTTCTCACCCCCGGCGGCGTGCTCTCTCTCTCTCTCTCTCTCGCGCACGCGCGCGTTCCTTTATCCCGCTTTCTACCAAAATTGGATCTCCGGTCTGGGATCCCAGCGCGTTAACAATAGCTCATCCCGCTCGCCGTGCGTCTTCGTCCTTCGTCCTTATCTGCGGTTAATTCCGCCTGTTCCCGTGTGTCTTGTGTCTCCGTCTCGTCTCGCCTCGTCTCGGCGTCGTCTCGTCGTCGTCTGCCGACGATCGATTATTCGCCCGTCGAGTGTCCGGCGCGAAGCGAGTCCCTGAAAGTTCCTCCTCGCGGATCGATCGGGAGCGAAGGATCGGCGTCGTTCGCGCTTCTGCCGTATGTCGTGCCTGGTTAGGTCATCGTTATCGGCCGCTGTAATTCAGCCGCTCGCCGTTGCCGCAGACATTGATTACCTTTTAACAACGTGTTAATCGCGAGCGCGCCGCGCTAATGGCTCGATTATGAGCGAAACGGGGCGCGATACGCGATAGCGCGACGCGGGGGAAAAAAAAGCGAGGGAAAGATCGACGCCCGCGGGGTCGAGTTGACGAAGAGAAGAGAATGCTCGTCGTTATCGCGCGGGCGCTCGGGAAAGGACGAGAAAGGAAGAAAGCCGTGCGTGGCCGTTACGCAGTTGCGCAAGTGCGAGAACGCGTACGCGTTTTGCATCGCACCTCGCGACTCCGCGGCGCATAAATGGTCCGCCGCTGCTCTACGGTATTCCGGGGATGTGCGCGCGCGGAAGTATTCCCCAGTCCGGAATGACGAGAGAAACAGAGTTTTTCTTTTTTTTTCTTTTTATCCAACCCGCCCCGCGCTCTGCCTCACGCCGCGCAGGGACGGAGGGAACGAACGAACGAACACGCGGCGGCAGTCGCTCTATTTCTCATATCTCTCCGATAAAAAAAAAAAAAAAAAACTCGCACTTTTTTTTCCTCTTGTCTCTTGCCTTTTTTTTTTTTATTATCGCGACGACCACGAATTTTCGCGTGACCGAGTAATAAACGCGCACACCACGTGATGAAAATTCCGCAGAACCATCGATATCTCTCGATAGTAGGCGTAGGAGATGAAGGAGCAAGGGGAGGAATGTTAGTTATACGAGCTGAAATAAAAAAGCCATTCCGATTCCGGCGGAGCTTTCTTGCGCGTTCCTTCAACGATTCTCCGATGGAAATAAGCGAAACGCCGCTGCGCGGCCGCGAAGGTTACGACGAGAGATCTCGCGGAAGTGCGAGTAGCGGCTTTCGACTTGCA